GTAATGTCCTAATTGTGCTTACGGGAGAGTCCCGTGCTCGTAACTCCCACTCTCCTGGTCGAATCCATTTATGTATTTAGTGATACTTTTTTTTTTATGATTGTGGCACCAGGACGGGCGAAAAAAATAATAGAATAAAACAGCCCTCATCGGGCCTGGGCACAAAGAATACATATAGTAAAGAGAAACAAAGATGGAGAGTGTAATGACTTGTCAGATGTGAAGGGATAATAAAAGATGTGTGATGAATATCCAAGAATATTCAGTGTAGCTGTAGGCATAGAAAAATAACCGTAACTGAAGGAAGACTTAACATCGAACTGTCCTGGACAGACCTATTTAAGTTCAAAAAACTCTTCAGCTGTAGTACCGCAACGGGCGGCTGGTGCCATGAGCCAACCTACTACATGACAATATCATACTTGTCCTGTACAATTAAAACTGTATAGTGAGTTAGCATTAACTACCTCCTCGCTTAGCGAATTCCAGTCATCAAATATTATTAAACTAAAAAAAGTACTTTCTTACATCCTCCAAAAAAGTTTTCTTACGAATTTTCAAACTATGGCCTCTAGTTCTTGTACCAGTTATATTAAAATCTCACTCACATACATACAATACATACACGCTAGTACGATGGTAAGTCATCCTTCAGTTACGGTTCTTTTTCTATTCCTACTTCAGCACCGAATATTCTTGGATATTCGTTACACATCTCTTACTATCCCTTCACGTCTGACAAGTCACAACACTCCCCATCTTTGTTTCTCTTTATTTTATGTTTTCTTCGTTGCCCAGGCCTGATGAGGGGAAATTTGTTTATTTTTTTGCCCGTCCTGGTGTCACACATCATCTACAACAACATACATACACATACATCATCATACATACATACATACATACATAGAGAATTAATAATCATTCAACGTTAAAACGAGAAGATTTCTCCAAAGATCAGTATAATTACATACTGAGATCCCAAAATCATGCTCATTACCTACATACCAAGAATTTGCTCTTTGCAAGTGGATGAGTATTCACAGCACCGGTCTCCCACCCAGTTGGTCCCAAGTTTGTCTCCTTTAGTTAGCTTCCTGTTGAAAACTTCTCTGGGACAAGAAGAATAAGGTAATGGTGTCCCAGTAAAGTGTCCCAGCACCGGACTTCCACCCAAGAGGTCCCGAGTTCGACTCCTGTAGGTTATTTGTTAGAGAACCTCTCTGTGATAAGGAGGGTGAAGTAATGATGTCCTTATTCTGTTAATCTATTCAGCAGACACATTGAGTATTCACCATGAGGTGTGTGGAACCTTTGGTGAAATAAGTATCACTGCGAGTTAGGGCTTCGACGAGGGGCAAATATGCCCCTTCTGCATCTCTCTTTAAAGAAAATAATGACAGTGCCAAGGAGACTTAAGGGAAGATATTTGTTTCTCTCTCGCATACCACTGACTGATTTTGGCACCATCCTGGGCACCTGGGGCAAGGTTAAGATTTTTTTTTCCTTTTTTTATCTCTTTCCTTCCTTCAAGTTTTATGATAGTTTATTCAAACGACACTTGTTGGATCGTATTTATGCTCAGTAGCTTCCTCGAAAGAATGTTTTTCTGACAGCTGTAGTTTTTTAAATTCCTTTTTGCCAGAAACTCTCAGATTTTATTTCTCTGTAATCTGTAGTTTTTTTTTTGTCGTTTGTTGCTCATATATAGCATTTCTTCACGATTTTTGTCTCTGAGTTTTGTAATTGTTTTATAATTTTTAACTTTTTGTGCTCTCTAATGGTTAGATGCTATGGCTTTATGGTCTGAAACTCTTTTGCTATTTCTTTGTGCTCAGAGATTTTATTTATTTTTTTTATGATTGTGACACCAGGACGGGCCAAAAAATAACAAAATAAAACAGCCCTCATCGGGCCTGTGCACAAAGAATACATAAAGTGAAGAGAAACAGAGATGGAGAGTGTAATGACTTGTCAGATGTGAAGGGATAATAAAAGATGTGTAATGAATATCCAAGAATATTGAGTGTTGCTGTAGGCATAGAAAAACAACCGTAACTGAAGGAAGAATTATCATCGAACTATCCTGGACAGACCTATTTAAGTTCAACCTTCAGCTGTAGTATCGCAACGGGCGGCTAGTGCCATGAGCCAACCTACTACTTATCTTCTTATTACACACAAAATCTAACTTTATGTGTGTTCTGAATGTCAGTTTTTATTTACTTATGATCGATAGCTTATTCACTTTCTTGTTTGTCCTTTGTAGCTCTTGATTCTCATATCTTTTGTGTGTAGTTGTCTTTTTATGTCCTCTGGATCTTTTGCCTTTTTTTATATTACATAGCTCACTGGCTTTGTTTCTCAGCACTTTATAGCTATGAGGTTTTATTACTTTGTAATCTGGAGGACTCCTTCTATGTGATTTCTGGTTCTTAAGGTATAATTTCTTTTCGATCTTTTTAGGTCATGATTTTTATTATACTTTGTGGGTCTTGGATATGACTTTTCTATCCTATTTTTTTCTGATCGTAGTTTATATATTTTCAGAATTGACTGTAAGTCTTGTATTTTATTTGTAGGCACTGTTTAGCTCTATGGTTTCTCCTCCCCCCTTATTTAAGGTACATTTCTTCCAGGCACACCTTTCATCCTAATTACACCATCCACTGGCTCATTTCTTACATCAGCATTCAAATCTCTCATCAACGCCACATTCACATTCATGCTAAAGTCCTCCAAACACTCATTTTTAGCTTTCCAAGCTTATTCCATTATGCTGTGAAGCTTTTGTATTCTATTATCAGTTGATCCTGTAGCTACTTTTCTTTAGATGTGAATATCTTTTATGCTCTGTGGCTATTGGAAACTAATTATATATGCATAGTAGGTCGTCGTCAATAAACCGGAAAATGAAATGCTTTTTGCGGGAAATACGTTTTTATGGACATTAATGCCGTGTAGTACAGGTTAAAATCATAATATAAATGGTAATTTTAATGATATACTTTCAATTTGTGCCCCACTCCTTCACTACTACTACTACTACTACTACTACTACTACTACTACTACTACTACTACTACTATCCATCCATCCACCTCCATCCATCATCCATCCATCCATCCATCCACCATCCATCCATCCATCCACTACTACTATATATATATATATATATATATCCCCCCCCCCCACACACACGCAACACTATCGTTTGTGTGTGTGTATGTATGTATCATAATCGTTATGAAGACACTTCAGGAGTTAGTAATAGCAACAATTTATGAGTATGAAAACAATTTCACTAAATTGTCATCAGTCACAATATGATCTAGTTTATATAAGTAGCTCTTATTACACTATTGATTATTTTAATGATTTTGTTTGATTTTTTTTTCGTAGGAATGCCATGTGCTTAATTTTACTATTAATATTGATTTTATATGTGTACATGTGGCACACAGACTTACATTCTTGTAAATCCAGATCTTGTTTCTTTTCTGTATTTTATTTTATCAGTATCCAAGCTTCCTCTACCTCCCGTAGTCATTGGTCCGATTTCTTAAACAGTGTAAACCTAGGATACCATATTGTTAGCTAGACACACAATTTAATTTCATAAACACATCAGACGCGGGTCTGTAACTTCTGTTTATGGCTAGGCCTAGCCATACGCAGAAACGCGTCAGATGCGTTTATGAAATCCATTTGTGTGTCTGGCTGACTAACAATATGGTATCCTAGGTTTACACTGTTTAAAAATTCGGGCCATTGACTCGTTTTTTCTTACTTTACCTTTCCCACTTTCCCAGTATTTTTCTCTTGGGGCGCGGGACCAGAATACCGCCTTCATGTTACACCGCATGTCGTAAAAGTTGAATAAATGAGGTGGAGCGAGGGGGGATTGGGTATCCTTCCCTGGGATTTATCCTCCCGCGTAGAGTCAAGGCATACGAGTGGGTATCTACCAGTACCCATATGGGTGTATGCTTTTGCTCGACCAATTTTTACCAAGGCATTATGACCTTTGTAAATGTATAGTTTTGTTTGGTAGTAACCGTAGCTCAACCGGTAGCGTCCGCGACTCTGAGGCGTCAGGTCGAGGGTTCGCGCCCCTTCACGGTCTGAGGTTAGCAAGGGCATGCACTCAGGGTAACGATTACATCTGCCAAAACAAGTCCTTCGTAAGAAGGCAACCGTCCTAGCCCTTGGTTGAAAAGGGAGTCCGTGACGTAAAACCGGATCCATCCATCCAAATGTATACAGGTGTCCACAAAGTCTGGGTACATAGGAAATTTCACTATGCAGACCTATTCAATCAAGTTTACCTGAATTTTGTAAAGCGCTTCAAACTATGCATTGAAAATGATGGAAATCATATTGAAAATATTATTTATTAACATTAGATCTACATAAAATTGTTTTGTTTTAAAAGTATGTGTTAATCTTCTGTGTACCCAGACGAAGTCTGGGTACACAGAAGATTAACACATACTTTTAAAACAAAACAATTATATGTAGATCTAATGTTAATAAATAATATTTTCAATACGATTTCCATCATTTTCAATGCATAGCTTGATGCGCTTTACAAAATTCAGGTGAACTCGATTGGATAGGTCTGCATAGTGAAATTTCCTATGTACCCAGACTTTGTGGACACCCTGTAGTTTTGTTTTAAGAGTGCCCAAGTATCACTTTTACGCTCTGCATACCTAATGCTTAGATGCCTTAGCCTGTCCTCAGATGTACTGTTATACCTTGAGGCACTTTCATTTCCGTCAGTCCCCATGCCGTTCATTTATACCTTTACTACTTCCCAGACACGTTGTTTATGCCTTTTTCCTTGTTTATTTGTATATTTTTTTTGTCATTATAAATTGTCTTTATCAGTGGCGAGACGTACTTTTATATCTTGTCAGTCCCCAATCGTGCTTTTTTTTGTTTTTTTTTGTTTTTTTGTGCCTAGTTGTATTTTATACCTTTATCAGTTTCCATTCCTGCGGCTGCCGTGGCCGAGTGGTAACGTTTGCGACTTTGATTCGTCAAGTCGTGGGTTCTAGGCCCGTCACGGTCTGAGGCGAGAAGAGGCATTCACTCAGGTCGCACTTGCCGAAATCAAAGACGTTCGCAAGTCAGCACCGTCCTAGCCCTTAATAGAAAAGGGAGTCCTTGACGTAAAACAGATCATCAGTGCCTATTCTTTTATACTTGCCGGCTCCCAGTCGACCCTATATGCCTTTATCAGTGCCCAGTTTAATTTTGTTTTTTCCATTTTAAGTGTTCAGTAGCACTTTCGTGCCATTATCAGTGCCCAGTTGTATACGTAAGTCATTATCAGTGCCCAGTTTAATTATTATTCCCTTATCTGTCCTACTATTTTTCACTTTCCCTTTGGTATATTTTCTTTGACTTTTCAGTGCCCGAATGTTCTTTCAGGCATTTCCGAGTGTTGAGTCATACTTTTTTTTTTTTTTAGTTTATCACTGTCATTTTGATAATTTCCCCTATTATCACTGCTCATTCTATACGTTTGAACATAGTTTTATCAGTTAAGTCGCCTTCTTATCCTCTTACCATTACCAAATCGTCCTATTTTCTTTTTATTAGTGGTCAGTAGAACTCTAAACTTATCAGTGCAAAATCATTTTTTAACTCCTTACCTTATATATATTTTTATCAATACTCAATCTTATTTTTTTCTCCTTATATGTGAAAAATCGTCATGTTTCTCATTATGCTCAGTCGCTCGTTCTTTTCCGTATCAATGACATGTCATTTTGTTTTTCATTTCTCTTAATCACTGCCCAGTCGTCCACCCATTCCCTTATCATTGCCAATTTTGTTTTCTCTTTTGCAGTGCTGAGTCATCCTCTTAAGAACTTAACAGCACCAAACTGTGTCTGAATGTTCCCAGTGTACTTATCATTTTAACCAAATTCCGGTTCCACTTGGTTTTTCTCCTTTTTATTATTTCCTGGGTTATATTATTTTCCCTACACAATTTTCCTGTGACATTAATTCTCAATGATGAAGAGTGATGACATGACTGGCATGAAGCCATGATTTCAAAAAACACGTCAATGGAAATATTTAGTTACATAAGCCATGAAGGAAGGTGTTTTCAAGACAGACAGGGAGTCATCCTTTCAAAAGGTATGGCAAAGGAAATAATTTGTAATGTAAGAAATGAAGGAAGGTGATGTCATGACTAGCAAGAATTCATGACTTCAGAAGGCATAGCAAAGGATATAATCCTTTACGTAATCCTTGAAGGAATGTTCATACTTCTTGACATATCTGCAGTTCTTCAAGAGATTCTAAAATATATTTGAGAATGACGTTAGTTGCTTTGTCTCTGGTTTCAGTTGTAAATGTGTATAAGGGTCATTATTTATAAGTATTCACGTCTTCGTATTTTTACTATTAAGGACAAGGAATGAAAAAAAAAGGGCAACTTTTATACATGGTAGAATAGAAAACTTTCTGTCTGACACCCGCAGGGAGTCAGAACTCTCTAAAATGTCTAGGCCAATCTAGAATGTTTTGAATAGTAACCAAAGTTGGTCTGTCAATTCACATCCAAAGGTAAATGTGTAGAGACTAAAAAACCCGCAACTTTTCCTTCTTGTTCTTGTTGGTTTGTTGGCCAAATGAGTAGTACCTATTGTATGAAACTGCTTCTGTATTAATGAATATTGCTCTGTCGTATGTGGAGTATTAGATTTCTAGTAATTCACAAGTTTCTTGCCCAAGGTCAACGTTCTCAGATTAGGCGGGACCTAGGCAACTGACCAAGCATAGTGTCTTGCACTTCTGGAAAAAGAAAAAGAAGAGATTCGATGTACTGTTAATCTATTTCAGTGATCTCAATTTTTTCTCCTTTTTTTATGTTTCAGTGATCTTGATTTTCTGTATTTGATATCGATTAGACTTTTTATTTAGTTTTTATGTTGATATCTTGTGTTAGTAGAAATGATGACTCCAGCTCAATGAGTTGTCAGTCCAGTATATGCTCAGCAAGCTCTGTGGGAAGAAAACGGATGTTCGCTCTAATGAAAGTTTTTATTTAATCTCTCTTTAGCTTTCATTCATCCAGAAAGTATCTAGACCATAACTTTCAAGACTTGACAGACACATGTATGCTGTACTCTTTGCTCTTTATTTCGTACTTTCTCTGTACTTCCTCAGTACTGCCTAAAGATGTGATGAGTAACGCACATGGAGATATTAAACTATTGATGAAACCAACTCTCTCGCGAGCTTAGACTCAAGAGTAGATCTCGAGATGCATATCCTGTAATTATATTTTTATTTAAGTTAAATTCTCCTGGGGACCAAGAGTACCTCCTTCGTGTTCCCCTGCGTGTCGTAGAAGTCGACAAAGCGGGGCGGAGCGAAGGGATTGAGAATTCCCTTTGTATTTCTGCCCACAAAGAGTCAAATATTTTGCTTTAACTCAGCCGCCCCATGATAAAGGGGGATTATGGCTTCTGTATATAGATAAAAAGATTTAAGTCCAATGAGATATGGTTACTAATATTCACAAGCAAGGTTGCAGTCACTCAGAGTAACGATTACATCTGCCAAAACAAGTCCTTCGCAAGAAGGCAACCGTCCTAGCCCTTAGTAGAAAAGGGAATTCGTGACGTAAAACCGTTGTATTCTGTCATGTCTTACAGTTTAAAGAATCTTATTGCTAGTTTTGTGAAGGTCTTTTTAGAGGTATAGAATTGATCTGGCATTACTTTATGGTGTTTGCAGTATGTCTTAGTATACTTGCTCGCTAAGTGAGAAATTTTTTTTTATTACTGCTGTTATAAAAAGATTTCATAAATACCAAATATGATATGTGTCGTTGTTTTCGTGTGATTACAGGAACGTATATACAGTACGTTTTCTTCCTCGAGCTAGCTCGCGTGAGAAATATTTTTATTATGTTACTGTTTGCGTGTGAATGTTTACATATCATTGCTGTTTGAACAAGTTTTTCATTTTTGTTTATTATTGTTTTGTGCTTGTTTTCTATAACTCTCTCCTGTTAGAGTCTTCCACTCAACTTAGTTTTAAGAGCAGGTGAAAATTGTTAATTCAGTGTGCCTTTTTTGTTTGCGTGCATTTGCGTGAGAGTTTGTTCTGGTTTTACGTCACGGACTCCCTTTTCTACTAAGGGCTAGGACGGTTGCCTTCTTGCGAAGGACTTGCTTTGGCAGATGTAATCGTTACCCTGAGTGCATGCTTGATATATTGTTTCTTTTTTTCGTAAGACCATAGACGTTAGATTTTTTTTTTTTTTTAAGTAGATTTTCTCTTCACGAGTCAGTGAGTTGTATGTAAAGTAGCCGTTCTTTATGTAAGGCTACTTGAATATGGCACTAGCATAATATCCTAACTTAACTTTTCCTAACCCAATTTATGGAGAACTTAGGGATATTGTCTAGATAACTTTGAAAAGTGTGAATATCAGCGTACTGGAGTGATCCATATTTTTTGTGTGTGTGAATTTTCGTTATTTGTATATTATTTAAATTAATTTTACATAGCTTATTATTATTTTAGCTGTTTTTAAGTTTTTTTTTCACTCACAATGGCCTAAAGATATTTAATAAATGAGAATAAAGTGTAAAATAGTGTCAGAGAAAAAGAATAGTGCCAGAGAAAAGGAATAGTGCCAAAGAAAAAGAATAGTGCCAGAGGAAAAATAGTGCCACCAGACTGCTGCATGTGAGGTAGCGTGCATTTCAATCCCTAGTCTTTGTTTGATTGTGGGTGGGTAGGCGAGAGTTGTGAGTGCGTGTGTGTGGGAGGGAGCAATCGCGTTTGAGGGAGTGGGGGGAGGGTAAACTATGTGATGGGGTGTGTATGAGGGGGGGTAGCGATCATCTGGCATGTCAGCTTTACTTTGAACCCCACAAGTTTGGCGCGTGTCCGTGGCAGGAGTACAGCAGCAGCATAGCAGTAAGAATGTGTGAAGCAGTTGTATAAAGAGCAATGGGATTCTTTAGAGCAGTTGTAGCAGATGCATAGCAGTAAGAATGTGTTAAGCAGTTGTATGAAGAGCAACGGGATTCTTTAGAGCAGTTGTAGCAGATGCATAGCAGTAAGAATGTGTGAAGCAGTTGTAGGAAGAGCAACGGGATTCTTTAGAGCAGTTGTAGCAGCAGCATAGCAGTAAGAATGTGTGAAGCAGTTGTATGAAGAGCAACGGGATTCTTCAGAGCAGTTGTAGCAGATGCATAGCAGTAAGAATGTGTTAAGCAGTTGTATGAAGAGCAATGGGATTCTTCAGAGCAGTTGTAGCAGATGCATAGCAGTAAGAATGTGTTAAGCAGTTGTATGAAGAGCAACGGGATTCTTTAGAGCAGTTGTAGCAGATGCATAGCAGTAAGAATGTGTGAAGCAGTTGAAGGAAGAGCAACGGGATTCTTTAGAGCAGTTGTAGCAGCAGCATAGCAGTAAGAATGTGTGAAGCAGTTGTATGAAGAGCAACGGGATTCTTCAGAGCAGTTGTAGCAGATGCATAGCAGTAAGAATGTGTTAAGCAGTTGTATGAAGAGCAATGGGATTCTTCAGAGCAGTTGTAGCAGATGCATAGCAGTAAGAATGTGTTAAGCAGTTGTATGAAGAGCAACGGGATTCTTTAGAGCAGTTGTAGCAGATGCATAGCAGTAAGAATGTGTGAAGCAGTTGTAGGAAGAGCAACGGGATTCTTTAGAGCAGTTGTAGCAGCAGCATAGCAGTAAGAATGTGTGAAGCAGTTGTAGGAAGAGCAACGGGATTCTTCAGAGCAGTTGTAGCAGATGCATAGCAGTAAGAATGTGTTAAGCAGTTGTATGAAGAGCAATGGGATTCTTCAGAGCAGTTGTAGCAGATGCATAGCAGTAAGAATGTGTTAAGCAGTTGTATGAAGAGCAACGGGATTCTTTAGAGCAGTTGTAGCAGATGCATAGCAGTAAGAATGTGTGAAGCAGTTGTAGGAAGAGCAACGGGATTCTTTAGAGCAGTTGTAGCAGCAGCATAGCAGTAAGAATGTGTGAAGCAGTTGTATGAAGAGCAACGGGATTCTTCAGAGCAGTT